ATGGGTCTTCCCCATATGTCTTCTCTATTCCAGTCTCAATCACAAGTCACACATTGAAGCTCGGGTTTACCCACCACAACAAATGGTAAAAGACTATATAACTGGCTTCAGTTACTTATAGAACAGTTATGCAAAACTCAATGGTTTAGCTGAGTCTCCTACATTAATTTTCAAGCTGTAACATTCTCAAAAAAAATTCCAATCACAGTTCTCTCTCTCTCTCTCTCTCTCTCTCTCTCTCTCTCTCTCTCTCTCTCTGTGTGTGTGTGTGTGTGTGTATTCTTTCTGTGTGTGTCTCCCTCTGTGTGTATTGTGCATATTTACCAATATAGTGTTTTCAACCATTTATTATTTATGTTTCTGTTCCCTACTAGTTAGATTTTTCAAAACATAGACTTCAGAAACAACAGAATGTTTCCTCACCAAACACTATTTGATGGTGGAGACAATTTCTTAAAAGGCTTTATAACAAAATTATCCTAAGCATTAGAAGACGTGCAATCTAGATACTAAAGCATTGGTCAAAAATTATTCTTCTAATAAACAAATGATTGCTTGCATAATATTAACACTTTTTTTTTGGTATATATGTCCATGTGTTCACTGAAAAGCTTTTTGTTGTTGTTGTTATTTTACACTTTCTGGTTTGTTGGCTTTGAAACACTCTCTGCCCTCATAGGAAGTCCTTTCAATCTAAAGAAGCCACTCTCCAAAGAGCATTGAGATGCTGCAATATGCATGAAGACTAAAACCCTGCTACTTGTGATCTCCTTAATAAAGATCCCAGAGGAAGGCATTGAGGCTAATAAAGAAAGGAGGGAGAAAGAAAAGCAACTTACAAAAGAATCTACCAGTATGCTCTCAGCAGACGCTAAAATCTAAACAGAGAGGCGATCAATGACATATTCTGCTTCTAAATTAAGTCTTAAAAATGCATATTAATGAATGTCTTTTGAAAACACATATTATATTGAGAATGGCACTCGGGCAAATAGAAACTGCTTTAATTTTAGATTCAGCTTCATGTTCAACTGAGTTTCCTCACTGGAAAATGCTTAAGAGTTAGTGGGTAGAGTTATAAACTTGATTTTTGAAGTAATCTAAAAAGATGATTTAAAAACAGGATCCCAAATATAAACAGGTCAAAATGTGGCTATCAACTCATTCCCAAAGGGTCCCTTCAAGAGATCCACAGATGTTTAGTTTTATAAGACCACCTGCCATCCTGATGAAAAGGATGGGTTTGCTTTGAATAGCAAGGGAAACAAGCCAGCAACCTGGAAATGAACACGAACACTGAAAGGATTAGAATTCAGTATCTCAATTCTATGCAGCAACTGTGTAACATAAAACAGATTCATGAGCCCTAGAAGGAATGAATAGAATTAGCCTAATCCAACATGAATATGCTTCGGAGGTCAATGGCTTAGTAAAACCCCATTTTTCTTTCATCGAGTAAGTGGCTAGATGAATGTGATAGAGCATAAATTAAAAGGCAAGCGAATCAGAAGGGATGAGGCTACCAAGTTAGTCAGAGTCTAGGTTATGCAGGTTGCTGTCACTCATGAGACCTAGTGGCTTTTAGATTTTGAAAAGGCACTCAGTTCCCTCTCTGCTCTCTACCTCGTACATACTTTTACTGAAAATACACTTTTGTGTGGACTTAAATATAAAGGGACAGAAGCAGAACTACTCTGGCTAAGTAGAGAAGCACAGAGTTAAGAATGCAGTGGGAAGGCAGACATAGGTCAAAATGGTTCCTTCGTGTTCTTCACAGGGACCCAAAGTCATGGTTCATGATCTTGAAGCTTTTAGTGGACCTTTTTGAACTCTACTTATATAGAATAGAGTGTATTTGGAAGCTTTAAACAAAATACGAGAAGATACGACTTTAGAAAATGCAGACCTAAAACTGTAGGTGTCAGGCATCCATTTAAGGTGAATAGGAAGCTGGATTTAAACTTATACATGTGAGGGCAGAGAAGAATTCTGAAGAACATTGAAGTAGTCTGAGGGGGGAAAGCCTAGTTAGGAAAACAGTCATCAGAATAAAATATATCTATATTTCAGAGGCAATTGAGAAGACATGGTGATGAATTAGACTCAGCAAATTTGATTATAAAGATTCAACAATATCCTATATTCTAGGTCCGGAAACCATAAGTAGGTAGAAGTATTAGAGAATGTAAAAGGGACCATTCAAGGTTTGAGGAGGAAACTAATTCAACTGTAGTTACTTCCAAGTTGGATAGGTGAGTTATTTAGATGAATATTTGGATGTATATGCAAAAAAAGCCTATATAGTAAGGATTTGATCCTCATGGGGGGGTGGAAGTGGTGTTTTATGGGATTTGCTTAGATCATTGGTGGGAACATGCCATAAAAAGGAACATGAAATCCCAACCTCTTCCTTTACTGCTTCCTGGTGTGAATGGTTTTCTTTGTCACATGATTGTACAATGATATACTTTCTTGCCCTTTGCAAATAAGGACATATGATTTGAACTGAAACATCCAGGCTATAAAGCAATATAAATTTCTTTATAAGCCAAAGACTCAAGCATATTTTTCTTATAGAATATGAATATAACAGAAATCTTGTCTGCAGTGTGAGTGCACACACACATGTGTTTTCTGAGTCTTAGACAATCCTACTTGAGACAAGCATATTTTGGGTAGCTAACGTATAGATGGTGACTAGCATTGGACAAAACAATGGGCAGGAAGTAAGAGACTATTTGGACTTGAAATACACACAAGACTTCAAAAATGGATACAAAAGCATCACATGAGAGATTCAAAGATTCAAAGAAATCAAAGTTTAGGGAAGTAAAAGAATGAGTATCCCATCAAAAAAATCACTAAGAAGTTTTAAAAAGTAAGAATTCATAAGCAAGATAAAATTAAACAAAGTCAAAGGTTAAAGAGGGTTAGTATTGTCAGGGTTAGTATTTAAAGGATAAAGGAAGACCACAATAAAACTTTCATAAAGTTGTGTTGCCGCAGGTTGAAAGTGAATGGAAGGTTAGAGCACACAGGTGGCACTTGCCAGAAAGGCAAATATTGGACCATGAAAGAAGATGGTTAGCCAAGTGGTTTAGGACACAGAATGATATCTGGCAAGCAGAAAATTTAATCAATATCTCTTCAATGAGCAATGGATGGTTGTCTCTCACAACGTGTGAATGTACTTAGTGAGGAGAATGGCCTGGAAGGGGTAAATTACAGAAACAAAAGAAATATTTCCAGTGATGGCATACCTTCTGCTCATCAATATTCTTCACATACTTTTAAGGATGAACAATTAATAAGAACCCAGAGAGTATCCAATCTGCCCATAGTCTTGTCTTACCTCCTTAGACAGGAAATGGGCGCAAAGAAGGGGACTGAGCCAGCATTACTCATTGGGAGCGCTTTGCTTGCATTATCAATTTGATCTTTTAACAGCCCTGTGAGTCAAGTATCAGTATTTCATCATCCAACAATGAGAAAACTGAAGTTCAAGGGTGGGGGAGCTAAGAGATTTGCCTGAGGTCTTACATCATTATTTTTATAGTATTATTCTCAGCTATCAAAATCAACTATGATAATACTGCATAAAAGAAGAAAGCAGGTCAGTCAGAGAGTGCTGCTTAAACACCATTCTGAGTGGAAAATTGAACCACAAGAGGCTATATTTAGAAAACCATGCAGTAAGCCAGAGATTCTTCAAACTCTACCATACATACCAATGAGAAAAAAAGGTTTTCTAATCAGATTGAATCCTAAGTCTTTGGGCAATTTATAAAGTCTATTAATATTCCAAATTCCTCATGTAGCAAGTCTCATCATCTGATTCATGATAACACATATGACATATTCAGTACAATACTTTTTATGTTCTAAACACATCCGTAAAACCAGAGTTCTTGATCCATATTGTCATTGGTACTATTGTTGTTGTAATATTCCTATTTCATACTAGAGAGAAGTAAATATGAATAACTGCAGTTTTGATGCCCTCTTTTAAAAATGCCCATTCATTTTCTAACTAGAGACAGAAAGAGTGTGGACTAGGAGAGGAGGAAAGGAAGGGAGGAATTGAGAAGAGTTGGGGAGGACCTCTAATCAGAGTACATGATATGAAAAGTCATTATTTTCAACAAAATGTTTAGATATCCTTTGGTCATTAAAAAGTACAAAAGGTGATGTAAAAACCTTATGTCTCAGAAAGCTCTAAGCACCATGACTCTAGCGAGAGTCTCAGGGGTGAAAGATGTCTGTCATCTGTCAAAGGAGCTGAGAGTCACGGCAGATTTTTCCAGGAGCTAAGGCTGAAATCTGAAAGAACAGACACGAACTCCCTCTGTGTGCTTTAGAGACGGTGGAATGAAAACCTCCATGAGCTCTGTATCTGGGTGATGAGGAGACTTGCTCTGGACCCAGGTGCATCCATAATGCAGAGCAGACAGGTTGTTTAGAAAAGCCATGCCCTGCTGTGCAAGGAACCTTCCCTCTAGAGAACATTTTACTTATTCGGTGAAAATTCCAAGGAAGAGAAGGCAATCCCCTTTCTCAGATACTCCAGAGAGTAACTTTAAAACGTGACATTAATGCCCCAGCACTCTACAGTTATCTGCTGAATTCTGAATTATGGCCCTGCTGAGCCCACCACCTACTGCAGAGACACATCTCCAGGTGAACCCAGACTGGTTAAAAAAAAAAAAAATTCCTTGCTAATGATAAAACTTTTCCTATTAACATTGGCAGCTCTGGTTAAATGGATCAAAAGGAATATTTGGTTTTAGAGAGAGATGTGTGGAAGGTAAAGCAAAATTCAGAAGACAATCTGGATAACAAAGTGAGGTGATTTACTATTCATGAAAGCTGAGCCTTTGAGTGCCAAAGTTCACAAAGATCGTGTCCTGTAATGGAAACAGATCCCTTAAAGCATGCCTGAGGGATTCCAACAACACATAAAAGCAAAATAGAGCTGAGAGCTAGCAATGATGAAAGATGACCTGTGGCTCCTGGGCATAAATCCAGTACACAGAAACATTTTATTAGCTTGAGATACAAAGTCCATCCGATGATTTACTCTCTCTCCTTCTGTTCTCACTTCTTCTGAGTGTAGGCATCACCCGTGGAGAGCAAAATACTCCAGGAAGGCACTGACGGAAAGGATACAATTGAGTTGTGTGTGAGCATGTCACAAAGATGGATATCAATGCAATATATCCCTAGCTCTGAAACTAGAACAGAAACTGTGCCATTGTAATGCAGACATTGGGCACCAGCAGCAGAGTCTAGGACTGACCCTGTCTCTACCACAAATTAACAGTGAGGCTTGTTCCATGCCAATAAATATCAGTTGGCCTCAGTTTTCCCATCTGCCAAATGGAAATTAGTTTATCAGCCATGAAAATCAAGCATGTACAGTAAAGGAAGCTTACTTTCCCCTTCTTAAAACTGTGAGTTCTGCTAAATTTCAGAGAAAGATTTATGGGTTCATAACCATGGCTACTATGCCTAATAGAGTTGTACATTTGTGTGGTACACATAGCTGTATACAACGGGACACTATTCAACTTAAAAGAATACCAAAACTGTGTAATTCGTCAGTAAATGGATGAAATCAGAAAGTATTTACTGAGTGAGATAACCCAGACCCAGAAAGACAAATATCACATGTTCTTTTTTACTTGTGGTTCCTTACTCCAAATTTTCAAGTGTGAGTCTATCACCTAAAATAGCCACCAAAGGCAGAAAGTAAAACAGAGACCAGAAGGAGGCTCTAAAAGGGGAAATAATAGAATACAGGTGTTATAAATCAGAAATGTGAAAAATAGACAATGGGGGGGCTTTAATTGGGAAGGGGAGGAAGAAAGAGGCAGAAGGAGTGGGAGGAAGGAAGGAAGCAAGGATAGATACACTAAGGATGTTTGTAAAACACATCGGGAATCGTATTATTTTATTTACCTAAAATTATACTTATGTGTGTGCACGTACGTATGTGTGTGTACATATGTGGCATGTGCATATAGTTTAAATGGTGTTGTGTTTCTTAAGGTGATAATACTTCCCCCAAGAGCCATAGATTATCAAACAAAATCCCCAGTACTAGGTAGGAGAAACCTTTTGTGTCTTTGGTCAGAAACATCCAAGAAACTCCTTATGCAGTGCATATGATTGTTGCCCTGAGTTCCCTTCTAGAAGTCAGATGCAAGTTCCTGTTGCTGAAGATACCATGGAAGAAAGACACATGTCTCAGAGGTATCAAAGTTGGTCTGATCTAAAAGCCTGATCCCTAATGCTATGCAAACTGCAAAATGAATCAATAGTTCAAACCAGTTTGAGAACTGCGAAGGGCGATAGTTACCAGCATGGCAAGATATCACTAAAGGTGCGGCAGTGTTCCCCATACCTTGGCGGTAATCACGGCGGTCTAATCGAAGTCAAGACCAATCATGCCTGGTACTGGAGACAGGTAAATACTCTTGACTAGTGAGATCATGGAACCAAAAGAAAACCTACTGTTACTTTCCAAAACAAGTATAAACTCTAACTACATCCTCAATACTTGTCCTTCCACCCGCAGAAAAGTGTTACGCTCAGCCCTCATCAAAGAAGCGTCTTTCTGCAGCAGACAGAGACCATTAGAGAATGTCACAACTGGTCAAAATAAAGAACAGAATCCTAGCCGCTAGAGCTGGCCTGGGGGCATGAGAACGGAAGAGCTGGCCCTGTCCCTCACCAACTCCAGCAATAAGGAGAGCAGGACCTTTCCTGGGCAAAACAGTAGAGCTGGCCTCCGAGGTGTGAATGAGAGTAAGTCAGCCATGGGTGTAAGAGAAATGGCGAGGCTCCTTGCTGCCTGCTGCACTGGGCAAGCTACCTGGACTAGTGCTGGAGAGCTCACCCTGATGGAGATGGTGCGGGAAGGCTGGCAGGCTGACCAAACCAGATACCACCTAAGCCTGAACCAGGCCTATGAGTTAGCCAACCCCAACATCCACCTCCTCTATAATCTGCCTGAGTAGGTGAAGGGGCCAGACCCAAAGCTAAAGGATCTCCATGACACAGGACAACAACAGAATATTGAGGAAGAGTCCCGTGAGGGCCCAGTATAGATAGGGTAGCAGAAGTCAGAGGCCCTGAGGCAAATCAATCATCTGATCTATTGCAAATAAAGATGTGTGGACTAAGGAGTACTATGTGACTCACGGGGTCACACGACAGTTTCTAAGCTGAGATTTTTCATTTCTTTTCTTTTTTTTTCTTTCTTTCTCTTTTGTTTGTGGGTTTTTGCTTGTTTATGTTTTTTGGTTATACTTCTACACTTTGTGATCACAAAGGCAGAGGATAGAGGCGAGGGGACAGGGTATTGAGTGGGATTCGGATGCATGATGTGAAATCTACAAAGAATCAATAAAAATTTTTAAAGAGGAAAAGAATCAATGAAAAAAAACAAAAGAACTGAGCCTGAGGTATTCAACCCCAACCGATATATCTAAACCACAATTTCTTCTTCTAAAACTCAGATAACATTCTAGAAGAGGTCAGAAGACCAAGACATCTTCAGTGAGATCATACCATCTATATATGGCCAGAGAAGCAGAACTCAAGAAATCTCAGTAATATAAGTGCCTAAATGATAACATCATCATTTGACATGGAACACAGTTAGGAAAAAATGATATGGGTATGTAATAAATTCTAAATGAAGGGGTAAAGGTAATTAGTGGCCTCTAAGAGAAGAAGAATCAGGTTCCCCTAGGAATGAGCCCTCTAATTGGCTATCCAATAAGAAATCATCAGCCCTAAAACAAATACATATGAGAAGTAATAAAGGTGCTCAGCAGATTGTACATACAGTTTTACTCATATGTATATATGTAATGGTAATAATTAAATAATGTCATGGAACCAAGGAGTCAGGATCACACAGGAGGGATTGGCAGGAGCAGAGCATGGGAAACGACATAAATAGATTCCACATATGTGATACTTTAAAATTAAATTAAAAATAAACAAACATGTTATATAAACACAGAATAAAGTATCTTTAATGTAGTCACTGAGTGTTACAATAATTTCCCTAGAATACAAACAGACGAATATGTTATTTGTTTGTGACAGATGCAATGACGGATGCTTTCATGGACTTCTAGTATGAGTATGAAAGCTTATTTAGTAAGAAGCGTAAAAATGAAAATACTGTCTTGGTAAGCCATAAAATAAAGGGATAAGAAAAAACTATTTGTTAAAAATAGCTTAATATGGACAAGCCTAACAGACATTCTGAAATCACATTGCTTCTTAGTATTATTAACTGTATAAAATTAGGCTGTCAAGCCTTGCTTTATGAAGTCAGTGAGGAGGAGAGAGAATCGCAAGGGACGAATCACTGTCATTTGCAGAAAGCTACCTGGCAGTCTAAGAATGAAGTTCACTCTTCAGGGCACACTCCTCTCAGTTGTTATAAATATGCGGAATGTCTCTGTCAGGCAGCTCAATAAAGAAGCTGCCCTCACCAATATGCTGTTTGTAAGGAGCACGCAGCTGCTCACAGGGAAAGGGAACAAAGACATTTTGTTTCCAATTATTGTTACTTTGCCTTTTAGTTCAGCTGAGCAGTTTCCTGACCAGTAAAACAGAAGATTCTGAATGGCAGTGTAACCAAACAAAGTCCCTCGGATTCAGGGAGACTTGGCTAAAGTCAGAGGACAACATGAGTCTGCTTTATAGGGAGTTGTACCTACAAGGATTCAAAGCTTAACCTATTGATTAGGAAGCATTTTCAACATTTTTTTTAAAATGACTCTACTACTTCCCTCTGAGCCAAGCTGAAACCTGTGCTACCAATGCATTTCCTCAGAGGCACACTGGTTTATGAATCCTTGCAGTATGCACAGTGTAAATACAGGTCTTTGGGGGTGATCAGTGCCTGTTATAAGTAGTGTAAAATAGCTATCTTTCTGAATGCATTTTTTTCCTCCCTGCTGTTCTGGCGAAATATAACTTACCTTACTGACATACTTGTCATAATCTGAGATTCTCAAATTCAGATTTTTAGCTTAAAAATTATGAAGGGTAAGAAAATGATCCACAACCTGTTTGTTCCCTGTGGTGGGGTGCCTCCCTCAGCATTGATGCAGGGGCTAGGGGCTCGACCCTGCCTCTACGTGATATGCCATGCTTTGTCGAGTCCCACGGGAGGCCTTACCCTTGCTGAGGAGTGGATGAGGGATGTATAAAGAAGTTGAGGGGAGATGATGGGGGGTAAACAGTGGTTGGAATGTAAAATAAATTAAAATTTTTTTTTAAAAGAAAAGAAAACGATTCACAGATGTGCTTAGGAAAATGCGAGGGTCTTGTTTGTCGAGTCAGGACAACAGAGCGCTTGTGCGTCTGTGGAAGCCACTCTGCAGCTGTCTATTTCATCACAGGTCCGAGAGAACTGAACATTTTAGTTCCAAAGTCTCAGAATGGCAAGGGCCAGAGCAAAAAGCAATGGTGACTCTTACCCAAATAGTCTCCATAAACTACTAAACAAATGAAAGAGACATAAAAATGCTAGTGACCATCTTCTTGTATTCATTTAAAAAAAAAAAAAAAAAAACGCATTGCTGTTGTTCCAGACTCTCCCATCAGGAGCCACAAAGCTGGTACTTACCTGGAGAGCTATGACCCGCGGAAGTGCCTGTAAGGTAGTGAAGGGTCCTCAAATTCAAGTGGAAAGGAAGAAAGCATTGTTGGCTGGCTAAATAAACATGTATAAGGTATGAAAGTAGCAAGCACACCAACTAATTTAAAGCATTTCTTGAAAGTGTCTCCACCCTTCACTCCCTGCTCACACTTTAACTGACTCCAGACACTGAAAGGATAGTGAGATGGGGAAGGACAATTTAAAAATGCTCATCTCCAGATGAGGTCATCTCACCGCAAAGACTCAGAACCCTTTTCAAATAGAAAAGTGACTACCTGGCAAACATCAAAATGCACAGGATAAAAGGAAAAGGCTCAGCTACCAAATTAAGTTCAACGAAGATCTCTGGGGTTTCTGATGCTTATTCTGGGGGCAAGGATTAAATATATTTACATGCATGCAATGCCAGCATTCTGAGGAAAGAGTCCATATTAATATAGTTCTCCAATTAGTAGGA